AATATCTCGGGATCTATGTCCTAGACCATTTGTCGTAGCCGCATGCCTGGTGGCTAGAGACCTTGAACCTCTGCGAATTATACACCAGTTTTTAAAAAAATGTAAAATAAAAATTTTAAAATCAACAGTGATAAATGTAGCCAAGAACCCAGATAAACCAAAACTAGAACTTAAATCTATGTACTTATATAGCCTGTAAATAACCCACTGTAGGTTAATACGTAAATAAACAATAAAAAATCGCGAAATTAAAAGGGAAAAATTTAAGTCATGACCTTTTTTGTAGTAAGCCCTCTTAAGTGTAATATAAGGGTCAGGCACTAAGTGTCAGAATACAAGGGTCAAAAAGTGGAGGTTAAAAAATAAGGGTCAGAATATTAGGGTCAAAATATTAGGGTCAGAATAAAAAAGTAAAAAACGTGGGTGTCAGGCAATGAGGGTCTAAATATAAGTCATATATTATACTTGATCACCGCTTTTAGCCCTTATATGACCCTCATTGTCTGACACCCACTTTTTGTACTTTTATATTCTGACCCTCATTCGTTCACCTTTACATTCAGGCCCCCATTTTTTGACTCTAATATTCCGACCCTCATTTTTTAACCTCCACTTTTTGATACTTATATTCTCACACTTAGTGTCAGAGCCTTATATTACACTTGAGAGCGCTCGGTACAACCCGGGCTGATACGGAATAATCATCCTCGAATTGAAACACCCATCCCCCACTCGAGTATAAAATATAATCAATTCAAGTTTTTTTCCGCGTATGAAACATATAAATACATATTTTATGTCACTTTTATATGTAAGTCAGGCCAATTCCATACATAAAATAGTATATTTCGTAACGAGTGCAAAAAGGTATTTTTTGGCGAGTGGGAGGTTTATATCATGAGCCGAAGGCGAGTGATATAATCCCACGAGCTAAAAAACATTTTTTCACGAGTTACGAACAATATTTTTCGTCACAATGTGGCGGAAATTGGACTTTTAGGCACACGGAGCGTGCCGAAAAGTTCACTTTTCGTCACAGCGAGATGAAAATATATTTTTCCGTATGGGTAGTGGATTGGTAACATGTCTTGGAGTCGTTTGCTATTTTGGTGAATCGGGTCAATTTCTCGGTTTATTGTGCCTCTTCCGCATTTTCCTCAGCAATTTACCTCGGTCCCAGGATATTTATGATGGCTATGATGGGGTGGAAAGTTCAGCCTCGTGTCATAAATAAATAAAAGATCACCGCATATTACAGAAAGGTAAATTTATAAAGAAAATTGTCACGAAGATGTGGGTGAAATTGACCGGATCTAATTATCTGATGAATGTCAGGCGAAAGTTTTGCTCAGGTAATTTTCAGCGGCTATTGAATTTGAAAACGGACAAAACAGATGCTGCCTAAAATGATTTTATGCATTTTTTGGAAATACTATTATTTTAGTTTAGAGATAACCCAGGACGCAATTTGCTCTTCTTGGCGTTATCCACCAAATATTCTGCACGACAATGACGTTGAAATTGATTTAATTTCCGTTTTCCAAATTGAATTGAATTCATATATTAATGATAATGACTCTTAATGATGACATGTCTTGAACTCGTTTCTTGAATCGCTCCAATTTCCCAGTTTATCGTGCGTGTTCCCCACTTTTCTTAACAATCCGCCTCGTTTCGAGGATATTTACGGCGGTTTGATAACACGACGGAGTCGTGAGTTCGTCCTCGTGTTGTAAATAAATGAAAAATGACCCGATATTACAAAATAACATAAAAACTAATTTAGTTGTCATCTTATAATTGAATTCAATGAATTAATGATGATAATTGTTACTGGTGCCTTACATGTCTGAGAGTCGTTCATTTTATTCTTTTATTTTTATTTTTTCATCTGTACACTTCAGTGTTGTCTATAATAAAAAAAAATTGAATAATTAGTCAATCACCGAAATTTTGTGGATGATAGCAAACTTTTATTTCACAGTGGAAAATTCATGTGATTTTATTATTTCTCTTTCGTTAATGTTACAGATTAAACAAGTGGGAAATTGCTCTTGTATTGTATATAGTATAATTATTTTTGCTAATAAAGTAGTAATATGCTTCCGAATGGTTATCTTACCCATCATTTTCTTCTATCATGTATAATTCATTGTTTATTTCATTTTATAAAATTGAAAAAGATTTCCTGTTACCTAATTTCGTCAGATTTTCAACTTAGCTGAATGTTATCGGCATCATTATTCTTATTATCCCTTTTCTTCTGTACAACCGATTGTCTTTTTAGCAGTTCTATCTCTCTCCTCAGCCCTTCATAAAATGTTAATAGAAAAATTTAGACGATTACAATGCTCCTATTCGGAAGCAAAAAAAACCCAACGTCTTTATCTCTGGGCAATAACTAAAAAAGGGCCAAGTGAAGTAATTTCTACCCCATCTTCAAGCCATTCTCAGTTCTTGATAATGCAATGAAGGTGACTTTATCCGGATTGTTTATTCATGAGTCTCGATTCATTTCACCCTGCTGTCTCATTCTATTCTCGCTTTCATCATGTAATTATACTCATTTCAATCCGACGGTTAGCTTTCAACATTTAAGATCTCAGAAACCCTGAATAATTCTCATCCACTTTACAGACCGCCGATCAATACCGGCAGATAGTATTCAGTAATTTTGGAAACATTCAGGAATTTTCGTCGTATTTATTCTCATTGCACTGCAATGATCGTATTATATTGCGATATTTTTACTTTATAATTTATAATTTTTTATATTTCTATTATCAACTTTGAATTCCTAAATTTCATCCTTCATTTTGAGCCACTGAGAATCATTTTGAAAATCTTGAAGAAGTGGATAGTCTACTTCTTGAGTTCAATAAAATAATTGAAAAAATTTTTAATCAATTTTTCACCTCAAAAATCTTTCTCTCGAAAATAAAAAACTTTGTCATATTTAGAATTTAACCAAAAAGTGATTCTATCCAAAAACAAGAAGATGAAGGATTTCTGAAAGTTTGAGCTATTCCAATTATTTATTCGAAAGAAGAAAACGTTTTTTCCTGCAAAATTTCATTTAATTCACAAATTTCCTATTCATGAAATAGATCTGAAATCATTATTTCGTATTCTTGGAATTTCCAATTCACTCGCAACAAACGAACTAAATTCTGCAACTTCAGTAACCGCGCGAAGAAATACCTTTTTATAAAATCCATGAATGCGTGATAATACAACGATGGAATATCTATTCCCCGTGACCGACATTACGATTCTCATCACGTTCATAACTACACAGGCTCCATGCTTCTCATGCTCGACACCCGGGAACCTTTCCTCTCCCGGAAACGTAGCCGTTCCTTGAAAGGGACGTGCTCCGATTTTTCTTGCTTGGTACTCCAGCTGAGAGAAATTCGTGGGGTGAGCTCTAGGGTTACGTCGAAATTTCTTGATTCCATTTTCCCGGGACGAACGCATGAATGTTGAAATATTCGTGAATAATTGAACGACTATTAGACATTTGCGGGGACTCGATGGCTTTGTTTAATTTGTGCGTATGCGGGGTGGGTTAGCGGTGAATTTTTAATGCGACGAACTTGAGGTGACCTTGGACTTTTAGTTGGAAAGCTCGATGCCGGCGGCAGCACCTGGTGGGGGTGAATTATCGGACTGTCGATAAGAAGAATTTCTAACATGAAAATAACTGCAGAGAAAAAAATCTGCGGGTGTCCGTATCTTTGATACAGCCGTCATTTCAAGTGGATACGTCTGTGGCCTTCCCTTTCCTTCATTGAACATCGTAAGTTTTCATTGTATTTATTTATATAGATCCCTTAGAATAGAATTCGGGATTTCCCACCGTCTCGTCATGATAAGACGTTTTCTATAATCACGATACAATTGAATTGGTATGGACAACCAAAATCCCTAAACAAACGTTCAACATATTTCATTCACAACGAAATCATCACATCCAAACACCCTTGGGAATTTTAACACGGATCCACAAATTTTATCCATTTCGTGCAATAATAACCGACTGTCCAGATTTTGCCGACCAGCGTTAAGGATCCCTTAAAATTGTAATTTATTTCTTCAAAAAACTGAAGAATTAGTAGAAAAATCTGGAATTTGCTAGAAAAATGTAGAATTTTCTAGAGATTTCTAGAATGTTCGAGAAATCTAATAGATGGCGCCACTATCGATAAGGAACCATAGGGACTTTTTCCCTAGATGCCCCCCCCCCATAATGAAAACATAGACGTGTCCCCGTCAAAAAAACGTTTTGATATTCAGTGACATGTCGCTGAGTTTCAGTGATCCATTCCTAATTTTAGGAATTTATCCCTAATTTATTGAAATTCACGATTTGGAAATTCATGTGACATGTCTCTGAGAATCAAAAATTTCTTGTCTTCTTTATATTTCTTTATTCATTCAGTATAAATTAATCAGACATTATGTAATTATTAACCACAATTCTTATCATTCTAATTCTAATGAAGAAATAAATAAATAAATGAATAGTGGAATTTACTATAAAATAGAAAGCTGATTGATAAAATTAATGAGAAGAAAAGAGAAATCCACGGATTTCTCCAAACTTTGACTCGAAAAATAGAAAAGGTTCGCCATCTTGTGGTTGTTTCATCGGGACATTTTCTGGGAATCCCCGCCCTCTTGGGAATCCCCTCAATCATGGAAAGGGCAACGGAACATGACCATTCCATTTCTGAATAATATTTAAATCTTGTGCATCATTTTATTATCTTCAATAATATTTTCCACTTTTCTTAATGAAACATAGCACATACTTTTGATTTTGTACTGACAGTTAAAACTTCCTTCGATATTCCATTCGAGTATAATCCACACGATACACTTAGTTATATCATATACACAGGGAAAGATAGTAAGTAAAAAATGGTGCGGTACACAGAGAATCACACGACAAACAATATCATTGTATCGAAATATTTTCTACAAAGGTACAAGTTTTCTTTTTGAGGACAGACGATCAACGGGATTCTTAGTTGGTATCCAGTGACATTTATATTCGCAGTTCACCTTCGTCCATCGAGTTCTGTAATCATAAAAATTTTAGTTCGAAACATTTTAACTTTCCCGAGAACACAGTGAAAGAAACATAAAGTCTCAACAAATTATTATTCCAACCGCTTTCATTAAAGCCATTTTAGTTTAAGTTTAAGAGATAGAATTTGTGCAATAGTTGACTAGTTAGAATAAATAGAAATTTGCAACAACTAGTTGATAATCTAGTTGACATTTAATTCGTAACAATAACTCCGCATTTGTAATTTTCTCATAATGCTCATTAATAATAGAATGGATTCGATTTTGATTGTAGATTAATAATAATTCGCTCTGATGAGAAGTACATTTAGTGTTCGAGACACTGGCGATTAATTTCTTGCGAGGAAATCTTTGTTTTACCCTCACAGTTATACACATACAAGTGAATACCTCGGAATCTAAAGTAGAAACCAAAATTTTTGTTATAACCTTTTTTGTAGAGCAAATTGAGAGCTACGACAAATATAATTACAAAAATTTCACTATCTTCCTTAAATTCGGAGATATTGGCCCGGTGGCCTGGCGTAGTGGTTAAGGCCGTTGCCTCACAACGGATAGGTTCCAGGTTCGATTCCTGGCCGGATAGAATGGTGAGATCTAACCATTTTTAAAGTCTTGATCAATCGCCATATAGTCTCATCAGACTCGAAGCGATATAAAATAAGCATAAAAAAAAAAAAAAAAAAATTCGGAGATATTCCTCGAAAACTCAGCTGAGAGCTAAGTCGAGCTGACCCGTTTTACCGTTTCGCTCCTGAGTTTATTGCAACTATGAGCACCATATAGTATAAAGTGGTGAGAATTTTGAAACATAAAGTCTGTTGTTGAGTTGATATTTACTCCATAGAAAAGATTTCTTTATTAATAATTTTTATTTTTGTTTGCATTACCAGGAGAGAAACTAGTCTCGCGTATTTTCGCCCTCCGCAATTTGCAATCTATTGTTGTACAAAATCCGGTTATACACCTTTAAAAACCAGATACACAACATCAATTCAGATTGACATATTTCAAATAATTGGGCTACATATGCCCGAAATGTCAAAAACACTGGTGTCTCTCAGGGCTAGAAAAGTTCGACGTCCGCATTTCCATTCATTTCCTCAGAAACTCATGGATCCAATCGTTAATTACACATACCAATACACAGATACATCCATTACAATGCACAAATGACATTTGCAGCTAGTATCTCATCGTCCACGGCCGGTCGCATCACCACAGTAACAGAGTTGTCAAATAAACCGCTGGACACAAGCCTCACCGACGTCACTTCACATCCAATTATTCTCGAGTCTGCATCTGAAACGATATGGTCCCTCAAAAAACAACAATTTGAGAAGCAAATTGGCTTCCACTGCAAGAAGCAGTGGTTCTAGATACACTGAGAAAAAAAAAATTCTACCATCCAAAACATATTGTCTTGGGACAAGTAATTCTTCTTCAATTGCTCAATTCTGCCAGACATCTCAACACATGTGGCCCGAGAAAGGTCTCATGCTTTAAAATATTCTTGTACTCAAGGATGATTTTGTCGTAAATGAACTCACTCAAATCGCGTAGAAGAATCGTCAATCGTCAAATATTAATTGTTTTCATAATTTTTTTGTTATGCAGTTCCACTATTTCGATATGTAATATATTCATGATAATATAATGCGCAACGATAGTGATAAATGAGAATTCATTTGAGTTCCGTGAACCACAAACATTCTGAGATTTAAACCCTTGAAAATAATTTACTTCTCTCAAGTAAATATAGTCTACGTATTAGGAAATTTTTCTCTCAGTGCAGTGATGCAGCGAGTCACTTTACGAGACAACTTTGGAGAGATGATCTCGGTCTCAGAGAACATGGAAATCTTTGTTGACGTCCCAGTCTCGAAATACGCAGTATCGACTCCTCTCGTGATGACTTTGAGTTAATTTATCGCATCTCGGTCTCAAATTGTTCGTGTTTTTTAACGTAAAATCTCGGCTTTTGTCTCGGTTCGTCTCATCTCGGTTTTCTGCATATAAAAAACGCGAACAACTGGGACTCGAGATGAGATAAATCGACTCGGAGTCATCACGAGAGGAGTCGATACTAAGTATTTCAAGATTGAGACGAGATAAAAAATTTCCGTGTTCACTGAGACCGAGACAATCCCTCCAAAGTATAGTCTCGTGATGTCTCGTGAAATGTCCCGCGGCATCACTAGTCCTTCACTTCTTCTTCAATTTGGAAGCCTTTGTAGAGCATTTTGTACTACATTATTTTCCACATTGCTTGCACTACAGTATTTTGGAAATTACTGAAGTGAGATTGAGTGTGTTCGTTGCAATGTAGATAGACTTTCTGCGGATTTGCAGATAACCTGACCATTTAACGTTTCATCGACTCACCAGGCTTTGAATCAACGCCGCATATTGAGTCAACCACTTCCATTTTTGATGTGTCCAATCCCGTATTACCTCCAATTTGCACTTGATCCGGCAAACCGCGTTTATTGCACTGCAAAAAATAGGAATTCAATAGCGTTAAGTAGTTGTGAATACTCCGTTGATAAATTGCGGCTCAAGTTTCTAGTGCAAACGACAGTTCCACTGAAATTTCAGAAAATTTCGTAATTGAAAATTTAATGGAAATTGAATTTTAGCTCAATGATCCGATAAAAACTGATAGAAACATGAAAAATCTGTACTGTTTGTAGTACAGTTTGTAGACAACTCTGTAGCCCATATGAGATTATTAAACCAAAGTTTCATTTATTTTATTTTAGTTGATAAAGGATCGGAAGGGAAACAAAATGTAAAAACTCGACAGTGTGTACATACAGACTATGAAGATTAGAAACCTGAAAAATCTAGGTAAATGTTATTTTGAATTTTCAATTAATTGAAAATTCAATTATAATTCAAATTATCATAATTATTAATTATTTTTCAATTCAATTTTCAATTTTATTTTTTTTTCTGTATAATTTCATACTAAATGTTGATGTTTTGATTGAAAATTCAAGTAAGTTGGAGGATTCTCGTCTTTCTGGTGCTCAAAAATTCCATAATTTTTCCCGGAAAATTGATCAGTATCTCTTCCTCCCTCTTTGCATTCCGCATTCTGCATTTCTTTCATACACAATAACAAAACGTTTCCCCAATCAACCGTCGATGAATTGAATTCCGTTCGATCACATTCGTATTTTCAATCGCCAGGTGAATCCCAATTGGCTATAATTGTGGCTCTCAGTGAATTTCATTTTCAGGCAATTAATTGATACGTTTGATGACGCAAATATTATGACTATTTGACATGCATAAACATACGTCGTGAACGGTGCCAGTTTCCATTTGTCTGATTGGCGGTCTCGTTCTCCGTCCACCAACGTCAAGGGCTATGACCCTCACCACTGACGGATAAATAGCCGTCAGGGTGCAATTAAGTTGCTGTCCGTAATTCCGGAGAGTGAATGCATCGGTTGTACTGTTTGCAAGCACGTTACAAGCTGTAAATATTTTATTTGGCAGTCAATATCACTAGTTGATCTGGGAGAATTTTATTGACGTTTTGTAATGCAAACTTGATAAATGAAAACTCCGCACCCGGAACAATGGTTCATTTGAATCAACTAAAAATCTTTATTTGAAATTAATGACGTTTTTTAAAGGAAAGGATTTAACTATATAAAATGACCAATTTATTATTTTCAAATAAATTTTGATTAAATTCAAGAAAACAATTTTATTATGCCAAATAAATCATTTGTTAAAATCGCATAAGCAATTTATGCATTCCAAATAAAAAATTTTAGTTTTGTAAGAAAATCACATTTTCATGAATTTTGCGAAGGAAATTAGAAATTAGGTTTCAACCATATTCGCGTGTCACATGTAGAAAAAGGCGTTTTCACTTCACGTCATTCTCCCCTACAAATTATCGCATGTTTCTCGTTCATTTTTTTTGAGTCAATTTCAATTTCGAAGCGGTAATACATTATTAAAAATGTATTATTAAAAAATCCATTTAATTAAAATAAAGAAATTGTCTTAATATAAGAAAAATTCATGAAGAATTTATTTGTATTAAACATAAAATTATTAATAACAAAAAAACATTTATTTAATATAAACAGAACCTGAAATAAAGAAGAATTTTTAATTTGAATACGAACTTAATTTTGTCTTATTTGAATAAACATCACTCGATTCAAAATAAATAATTTTTCTGGGTGCGGATAATCGACGAAAGGATGAAATACTCACGACTTGGATTTTTGTGGCTTCTCACATAAACCGAGAAACCCTTACCCCTGACGGGTATTCTGTACTGTATGAGGATTGCATTCTGCGTGCTGACGTAAGTCTTCGAAACGCGTTTACCGCAAAACTCGTCGAAACGCTCTTTTAATGGGAGAGGATGATCCATCGGTGACGGGAAAAGTTCGCCGTTCAATTCCCAACCGTCTACGACCTATCTCAGAAGGGTACATGGTGTGATAAGAATAAATCGGGTAGCTGAATACAAGTTATGCCAAGAGAGAGTTGCAGGGACTCTATTGTTCAAGGAGAATAGATTATTCCAAAACTTATGGAACTGAATCAGTGAGGAATGGGTGAATGAGAGAGAGAGTCAGAAATAGAGAGAATACCTACCCGATATAAATCAATGAGAGTAACTGCGAGGATATTTTCTCTAACATATCCTCGCGTTACTCTTATTCCACTAATTTTTCTTGATTACTATTTTTACGAAGTAATTGAAATAAAATAAATAAAAACATGCTCCAAGAGACAGTACCATCTCCATCTGCGCTCAACAAAATTGAATCTCCATAAAACCAACAATGAATAATCACTTATTCCACTGGATTTCTCAAAATTTGTAAATTATTCAGTGTCAAAAACGGATGTACCCAAATTTTTCTTGATTTCTATTAATTTTCACGAAGTTATTGAAATAAAATGAATAAAAAAACTGTCCCGAGAGACAGTAGCATCTCCATCCACGCTCCACAAAATTGAATCCCCATAAAACCAACAGCCCCCTAAATGGTTTTCTCAGGCAACACTACCTCAACCCAAGTGTCTCCACAAAAGTGGTCCCACTAGACTACCGCGTACATACCGAGACAAGGCCGTCCTGCTCGCACGGTACGTCGAAGGACAGAAAACTCAATTCCAGGGTTTTGTCAGGCTCCGTGAGGAAGTACGCACCGCAGACCGTTGCATCCTCGTTCGTCGCTTGATAAGTGAATCTGCCAGTCTCTGACGTCATGAATATGCAATCTGAGGGGTAGGGAAGTGCATTTGAATTTAGGTTGAGATAATAATTTTCATAGTTTAGATACAATGTATTCAAAGTGAAACGTTCGCCAAGGACGTGAGTGTCTAATAAATACTCAAATGGTTTTATGGGGTGTGTGTGTGTGTGTGGGGGGGGGGGGG